AAGTCTCCTTTCTTTGGAAGTTTGAATAAGTAACTGTTCTTCCAATCCTCGGGTACTTTGCCCTCTTTCCACACCTTCTCCAGCAGTGGTGTCATCAAGTCCGCTGTTGTCTCTGGGTCTATTTTCAAGGCCTCTGCTGGGATTCCATCTGGTCCCGGTGTTTTCCCAGCTTTAAGCATCTTGATTGCATTCAGGACTTCTGATTTCGTCGGGGGGTCAGTGTTCACTGGTAGTTCTGCTTCCGTTGTTGGTATTGCTGGACGTGTTGTAGGTGGCGGACGATTTAGAAGTCTTTTGAAGTGTTCAACCCAGTGCTTTCTCTGTTCCACCTCTTTGGTGATTGACTTTCCATTGTCGTCCTTTATTGGCTTAATCTGTGTCGAACGTTTGCCCGAAAGGTTCCTAGTTGTTTGGTAGAGTGTGGCGAGGTCTCCTTTGCCTGCAGCTTGTTCTGCTTCGTTTTCCATGGTTTCATAATATTTTCATTTGTCTTCCCTGGCACTCTTCTTCACTCTTTTGTTCAGTGTATTGTAGCTTGCATTCAGCTCCTGACATAGTCTCTGTAATCAAGTATGGCAAGCCATACCTTTTTGCAGATGATCTCAAGATAGTATATGATTATGGGTACGGTGATATGAGCGTCGAAAGCAAGATCCAACAAGACTTAAACGATCTAGGCGATTGGAGCGAAAAGTGGCAACTGACTTTCAACCCAGACAAGTGCGGTATAACCCACCTTGGACGCTGGAAACCGATAATGTGCCTATATATGTACGGTAAGCTCCTCTCAAAACTGAACACAGTCACAGATCTCGGGATAACATACTCAGATTTATCCTTTTCCGATCATGCAAACAAGGTTGTATCTGACTGTAAACGACTTACTGGCTTTGTACTGCGTAACTTCTACACCCAAGAAGCAAGATTAGCTATATATAGGACATGTATCCGTCCCAAACTTGAATATTGTGCTCTCCTATTTAGTAACCTCAGGACTGTAGACAGAAAAAAAATCGAAAGTGTCCAGAGATTCCTCACGAAACGCATAATAGGGTTCGACCAACAAGTGGAATATGTTGACAGGTGTGTACGTCTGAAATTAGAGCCTCTGTGGTTAAGGAGAGTGAAGTGCAACCTATTTCTACTCTTCAAAGTCATTAGGAAACACTGCTACAGTAACTCATCCATAACTTGGGAAAATATTAAATCATATCAGCTGCGAAACCACGACTACCTTGTCAAGGTGGCTACCCACAGAAAATCCATTAGGGCAAACTTTTTCACCATAAAATATTGCACTCTTTGGAACCAACTACCACCTGAAATAAGATGTTGTGAAAACCCTGATGGGTTCAAACGGAGCCTAGAAAGACACTTTAACATGTCCACCCTAGCTCGTCTAAAAGACCACAACTGTTGGTAGAACGGAAATTGAAGGCCAGTCCAGTCTTCAGTATAGTCACATACGTATATCTCGACTCTAATACTCACGCAGCGAACGTTAACTAATTTACTGATTTCTATTCTCTATAATTTTCACTAAGTTGTGTTGGTAAAAGTAACACTGGAAATAATTGTAATAGCATCCACACCTTTTAACGTTTTACATATGTATATACTAATATAATAATACTTATTAATCATGCATGTTCAATTCTTAAATTAGATGGTTATTAAAATATTAAAATATTTATGCATCAAATGTTCTCTTGCTTTACCACGCTTGTTTCCCTTATAACACTCAATTATTGAACCTAGTGTAATATTTGATATACGAATTATATTATTGATTATACTCTTATCATATATGGTTTGATTTACTCTACGGCTCCCTGTAGACTAACTACCATTCTTCAGTATACACACACTGCAGTATTGTTAAAAATGCCAAAATTTTGTTGGTTCTGTGTTAATATCTTTTTATAATATGTCTAGACACGTTACTTTGCAATGTCAGATGTTTACTATATATAAGTACTCTAAGTCCTGCCAACCGACCTTACCTTCAGTCCATACTACCTAAATTGAACCTTAACTATAGTGTTCTGCTAAATCTTGCTCCACTATTCACAATACCTATTCGTTTCACTCTTTAAGGTTTTAACTTCTTATAAAGTAATCTGTTCATCAGGATGCATGCACACATATATAATATGTTCGTAAAGATGTACGTGGAGACCTATTGGAAGCACTCATTAAGAAAGCTAGGGAGATGGAATATGGGGTACGAACATGTCTGGTACCAAGCAATATATTTGCGGTAGCCATAATAATCATAGTCTCAGAGCCTAACATCAAAAAAGGAGGGAGGGTGGCGCTAGCTGATCAGTAGATATGGTGGTGGTCACTAAGGTGAATCACCCCATTCTGCAGGAACAGCAATATGCAATTTAAAGGCTCGAGATATTTCTGATTTTTATGAGGGCTTAGATCTTTATCTTGAAAAAGATAATAATGAACGCCTTGACAGATCATGCTTCTACCTTTAAATATATACCATTCGCTCAGCCTATTGTTGAGATGCGACCATGCGGGATCTGCACAGATTTATGGGGCATCTTATAAATTAACTTGCTATCCATTGTCAGATCTTTAAATACCACTTCACAATATCTTGTCTCACTTATTTTCTAATAACGTCTTTACTTGATCCTCATTATATTCCATTAAACCTAACATTTTATAGCTCTTTATGAATTTGATTCGACTTATTCTATTCCTATTCTCTGGAGGGTACGGTTGTGCACCAAATAGAAAAAAGGCATGAAATAAAAACAACTGGCTTGAAAATAATTGTATTAAAGCCAAAAGTGGACATCATGATAGTATAAAATATATTGGTTTTATTATACATTGCAAATGAACGTTGTCGGCCTAAGGATTAATTACTTCCCCATTCTGTTTTCTATATAAATGTGTTTATTAATGATATATTTCACTCACTTAATCTATTACACTTTAATGATTCACCTAAGCACTTTAACTTTTCTAAAACAGCTTCCAATCCTTGTAAACGTTGTACTTACCTCAATATTGGTTGGTTATCGTATGCCTACAACCACGGGATGAAAACGAAACGAAGTCGATTTTCCCGCTCAACCTGGAGGACAACTGTACAATTCAATAACTATACGGCCTGGTTCAGACAATGAGCGTAATTATATATATATATATATATATATATATATATATATATCAAATATTAAACTGTTTAAACATTATTAACTTGTAGACAATTTAAGATTTGATATTATAACATACTTGATCGTGCCTGTAAAAATGGCATGCATTTTCATGTAAATTTATGTTTATATGAGAATAAAATTATTATTATAAGTACTTACTGTTGATTGCTTATATGTTTCATATATGAATTACATTAGAATTCCGCTAAATACAAACTCCTTAATTCCGTCCTCTCTGTGTTTTGTTTGGATTCGTGTAATTCGGTCATCTCGAAATACTAATAAGACGATTACAATAAATTACTACGCAGAGTTCCTTAAGAGGCTTGATACGAGTACCTCAAGACCCTGACAGTAATCGTCGGCAGCTTCTTCTACGTGGCGCCTTGGCGACTCATGTAAATATTCCTGTGAAAGAAATACTGATGGACTGCCAAATCGTCAGCTTGACACATGAATTACAAGTCCCTAGACAAATATAATTCACAGAGGATGGATCATACACGCCTTCTTGCGATGCGTCGACATAGGTGACTAACCAGGTGAGAATTTGTTTCTTCTTAGCGTCGGGTTTTACTTCAAACGACTGTATTGCCTTGATTATCGATATTCAGACATGAAACACAGACAGTTTCCCTTCCTTAAACTTGAAAGCCACAAGTGTGATCCATCATTTTTCCAAAAAAGACTCCTAGTAACCCACGAAATGTGACCTAAGTGGTTAATCTGGACTTAGCAATGAATGCATGGACAAAATCCCCTCAGTCATTACGCTTCCCAATCAATACTTTTTAAGCACCGGGTCGCAAGACTTCATTTTGCAAGTTTCATCTCGATTTTCACGTTCAGTTTTCAGGTGAACGGCATCACTTGACGTAGTTAAAAGGCTGTCAGAGGCGTCCAGACATCCGAAGATGTCTAACAGACCACATTTGGCTCTCCTGTAGGAGAGGAACTGCTGCACCCACTTCCGGGGTGAATGGGCTTGGCTCCACAAGTTAAGCAAGTGCTTCATAACTGTAGCCCATTAGGAATCTTTCGCGGTAAATAACTCCCCAAAATTATTGGCCACAGCATTCATCACTGAACAGTGGATGCTGGCCATCACTGTTTAAGTTCACTTGTTTAGATGAAGGCTTACGGTGAAGTATCCACGCCATTTGGCTAGCCGTCGTGTCACGTTCGTTCGTTAGTGTGCGATCCCTAAATAGCTAACCAATCATCTCAAACTCCGATTTGGTCCCGAAATATATCTCGTAATTTGAACGATCGACTCTTGTGTTTTACCCTGCCTTGGTATACACTTGACGAATGCTATAGAAGTTGTGGATATTAGATCTTGCGTTAGTATACTTCGTACTATCCGTGAACGTCAATGCCGTCAGCCTCTAGAAGTCGTACACATGCGACCCTCGGTAATAATGTATTACCAAAAGTCGCCCACATGGATCCACTTTGATCGACCAATTAATTCACTCTCATAATTTCCTTAACACAGTTGTCACTATCCGTTTTCCAAATTACATAGTTAGTATTGTTATATAAGTTGCTAATATTAGTGCCGTCGTTTCCGTTTCCATCTTCCATCCTAATGAATCGAAAGAAAAGTGATATACCGATACAGATTTAGTCATTTAACAGCCTAAAGCCTCCTAATCTTCCCTTCAGGCAGAATAATTTTTTCCCTGAAGCAAAAGCCTAAGATGATGAAAGTAATTGTAAAATAAAAATCAGTCAGAAAGCAAGGTTTATTTTTCATTATTCGGAAGGCTATTCAAAGAGATCATCTTCGTTTTAAACTGGTTCATTGAGGAGGCTTTTTGTTGCCTGAAGGTCGGAGCGATATTTATACCTTCAAGGTCGGGATGATGTATTTTTGTGAATTGGGTGAGCTAACTGGTGTATTTACTGCATATTTTAACGATAGAAGCGTCTGAATTTTTACTTTATATACAAAATCATCATTAACTCAGACCATGTGGTCGGTGGCACAGTGTTTAGGACTCTCGCTGGCCATACACATGGTCCGATCGGACCTCGAGGTTCGATCCCCTGCCGACACACACCTGATATCTATTGTTGGCCTGCAGAATTTGGGCTACCGATATCCATGCTAAAAATTCCATACTTGTACCAAAAATACAGTATGGAATCAAGCTGTAAATAAAAAAATGAAAAATATGAAAACAGCTGCATCATTTCGGCAAATACGTATTTGCCGAAATGATGCGGTAATAGGTGAAAACAGCTTCAGATGCTTAATTAATATATTTACAGAGTCGCAACTTCATTATTTCAGCACCGCGATACTAAAGTGGACAAAGTTGAACTTTAATCACTAGTAATTACCAATGGGAAACCGACCTTGAACGCCCCGACCACATATTCGAGGTGATTTTTGCAGATAAAATACGTATATATTTATGAAGAAAAAGGATTGAAAAGTATGCAACTGTTATGCAGGATACCTTTCTCTGACATCTGACAAAAATACCTCTCAGTGTTGGGCTCCAGTGCCAACGAAGTAATTTATCAACATATGCATGTAATTATCTAGGTCACCCAACCGTAAGAATAACACTCATCGTTTCTCAACCTAACCCTAAAGTGAAAACATCCCTAAACCCTATTCGAACTCGAACCAACCTTAATGTCGGCCTAATCAGATTTGTAAACCTGGAGATTTTGCCCCGAAGATTCTGCTGTGCACCTGAAGGAAATGCTAGCTGAGAACCCAACCCTAACCTGTCCTTAGCTTTAACCTCAAATGATTTTTCCCAGGGGAAGTTCAACAATAGCGTCCCAAGAGTGCGAACGCTCGAATGAACTTGAACGCATGCTAGTCGTTGACTTATGACACTTGTCATGATAATAACTAAAATATCAACGCTATTCACCAACCAAAATGCAAATGTCACTCAGATCATGGTTTTAAGTACAGTTTGGACAATATGTTAAAAGGTCGTTAGGGTTAGGATTAGAGTTAAGAGAAGTATTAAGTTAGGGTTAGGACCAGGGTCATAATTAGGGTTAAGCTGACGGACTAGTATTAAGTCTAGGGTTAGGGTAAGGACTAAGTTTAGGGCTACAATTAGGGGTAGATTTAGAGTTGATGTCATTTATTATAACATGCAGATTTAAATAAATGATAAAACAGTTTTATCACCAATATTTGTAAGCAAGTAGTTGTCGATCCTCTCACTAGAAACCATAGTAATTCAACCGAAGGCCTTTGGGAAGACTGCACAACAAGATAAGAGAGATAAACAACTCACAAAAACAGCTTTTTTAGTCACCTCAGTGAATACATATATGGAAACTAGTCTTACTTAGCAACTGAAACCCCTTATTATAACTGAGACGTATTTTTAAGTCACGTCAGAAAAAGACACCCTGTTGAATGTGTTTTCATGCAATTTTTTGTTTTCCGTGCAAAAATTCCTCATTTTTATGATTGGTCGGCTCAAGGTCATTCGTGCGTTCGCATCCTTTGTACTCTATTGTTGAACTTTGGCCTTTCCCAAACCTAACTTGAAACTTGCCAGATATCCCATTTAATAATGTAACACTTCATTAGGCTTCATTATAATAGAGGTTTTTGTATTTCCCAATGAATGAAAAAACAAAACGAGATTGTTTTTACTGACATTTCGCTATTTAATGCTAATAGCTTTCTCAAAGTATTATTAAACCGGAATTTACAAAATCTCAGAAGAAGTGGTGTCTGCAACCTCAACTGATTCGTTCAAGAAGGGTTTGGACAACCACAGAAATCTACTAGAAAAGGATTAACATAGGCTGCAAGCCTTCTATCCTCAACCAATAAATCTGAATCTGAATATATATAACAAAGAGTTAGGGGGTGAGAAAAAATATAGACTTAGTTCAACTTAAAAGGACATATTGAAAGTCAAAATAACAATGAAGATCGTTCAAACCAAATATCAAAGGTAATAGTATATCTGTTATTATATCAAAATAAAGTTTACTAACTTGATCATCGTTCGTTAGTCTGGGGTCATTTTTGGTTGTCAAGTTCGAGAAGAGGTAAAGGTAACTAAACTAAGTGTAGGCTGTGAAATACTTGATCATCGTTCGTCAGTCTGGGTCGTTTTTTTGTTGTCAAGTTGGCTAACTGGTAAAGATAGCAAAATCAAGTGGATTGTTGGATTTTGTCAGTGTGTAGAATTATGAAAGTAGTGTGTGTTTACATAGTGAACTTGCTCATCACATTTGCGTTGATTTTGCTACTTCATTAGGCTTATTTCACTCATGATTACGGTATTATTTACCAGGTTAACTAACTTGCCAACTGAACGTTTCAAGGTCATAGATGGGAGTGCACTATCTTGGTACTTACTGGTGCCTAAAGTTTTACCTGCCAGAAATTGTTTATATATATATATATATAATTTCCTATGACTGATTGTCTCCTTAGTTTAAGCGGCAACTAACATCATATATGTTTTTTTCGTTTGTTTGTTTACTATCTTTCATCTGATAAGGTTAGTTAATGAGTTCTTTACTTGGGAGGAATTTGAAGTCGTCAACATTCACACAATGCGTGACGAATTAGTGAAGGTATTTATACCAGCACGCTGATTAGTAATAATGTTTAGAAGTTGCAGTCCCTTCAAGAACGCAAACGTCTTATGTGTTCCCGTTCAACAAAGATACGTGAAATTGAACTTAAACGAAAAATAATTGAAAATGGTTAGTATTTTGTGTAGTGTATTGATAAATATCTGTTTTCAGTGCTAGAAGTTATGCCGGAGTCGTCAGAGACTGCCGTACACCTCCGTGCCATCGAGTCTGAGGTAAATAAACAAGATATTGCTCTACGGCCTTGGAAGAAAAGGAAACTTACTACGTCAATAAGTTCAACAAGTGAAACGGTATTTAGTCTAACATTTACAGTCAACTAATCATTATTCAACTATAAAACATCGACAAAACTGATGAATTATTTTTTTGGTGAAATGAACTAAATTGCCAACTTAGTCTTTATACAAAAGCGATTCAGTTCGAGTATCCACACTTTTAGAAAGCAAGCACTAATTTGGCTTACTTATCGACGTAGGACTTTGGATAAAAAGTGTTTTAGTATAAGTTTGAAATAGCGCTCAGCAGTCTCACTACTTAACTTCCCCTAACTACCTAACAATTCGCGTCTAACCTCATTATTACTATATTGCACCACCTAGGGCGAGTAATTGAATACAAATACCTATAGTCCCAAACCTCTAGTGCTTTTGTACTTGCCACTTTTAATAGTCGTGAATAATAATGTCTTCTGTTCTGACAGCCGTGTACTACGCATATCCTCCGGTTGATAGCTGGAAATTATGCCTGTTGCAATAGTATTAGTTGACAACTGCTAAATGAACATTATATAATCCATGCTGAGAATTCGTCAGCAACCAGTCCATTAGGGTTGACGCAACTCGCCAAATAAGTAGAGTGAACAACATCTTCAGAGGATGAGGGCATATCGATGTTTACAGAAAGCATGACGTATACTAACGCAAATCCCCACACCCACAACTCTTATAGTATTTGTTCTGCGTAGACCAAAGTCAATTCGAAAAGTCAGAATAGCTAGTAATCGTGTATGAACGAACGAACGTAACATGACGGCGTGCCAAATGGGGTGGATGCTTGACTGCGAGCCTTCATCTAAAAAGGTCCGAAGCCAGTGTGGAGTGATGATTGCTGTAGGCTAATAATTTTGGGGAATCATCAACCGCCACTCATCCATCCATTTCACTGCCTATCCTTTAACCGAGTCAGCACATACCACTTCTTCAGAATCGTTCTGCATTTCACAAGAACGAATCATGTCCTAAAGAGAAATGGACTTACGGTCAAGGTTTTCAAAAGGCTGTTGCTGTCAGCACCATTTGAAAGGATAGTATCATCCATTTTATCCATAGCATCGTATATCTAATAGCTTATGACTTGGACTGTACAAAGTGCATACAACACTTACGCCGGCCACTAAATGTCTAAGTGGGGTGTGGGCAGATCTGTATGTCATCGCATGGCGAGACGATGTTGTGTACTTACTCCAAGTTTGGATAGATTGAAGACATTCACAATTTTTAGGCTTTGCCTCTCCAAATAATTGCGTCATTTCGATAAGTGAATCTAACATGTAGTCTGAAAATGAACCAATCAGAGATCAATATCTAACATCTAATAGTTAGGCTAATAGGTAACCGACTATTTTTATCTCTTTTAACATGCCTACAGTTTTTGGTCTGTATTGTGTACTGTTTTATTTATATTTCCGGCATGTATACACTTTCCTTACCGAAATAAATTCTCTCTCACTTTGTTGGCTGGGGAAATCAGCTAACAACTGTCTAGCGTTGATAGAAGGCAGTTGGTATTCATAATTACTATGGCTTTGCAAGTTTGTGCATTGCCCACATACAACTTTAAATTAAGGAACGTGAAACATGTAGTCATCTATTCGAAAATTTGTTGTTCATATTTTTCAGCGTTAGCATATTTCAAACATAATGTGGTTATCCCCCGCCACATGTTTTTTAGGCATTTGTCGTTACTCTTGACCACATTTGATTCCATTTGTACACTCGTACGCCTTTATTCTTCCATGCATTTATAGACATTGTGTTCTAAGCACAACAATTTGACATGGATTTACATTTCAGTGGTTGGATAAAATGGTTGGCCTTCATATATATTGTCAGGCGTCGAAATTGTGTAGGGGCAAAAACCATTCGCAGAAATATTTTAAATAACTTTATTCTGTAAAAATGAAGATATAAACCTCTTAAGTTGGAATATATTTCACTCCATTTTACTCAGATATGTGTGATTTATTTAAGTACATGGATTCATGTCTCGCCTATAAGCACTAGAGTTAGGACTGATAGTTGCCGTCATTAGTTTACTATATTCAAATAACTCGGTAATAAGAAATAAAAGCAATTGATTAGCAAGTCACTTTAAGTTTCCTGATGTTTCACCACTTCTGGAATAGAATTAACGGCATTACTTGACTCGTGTCAGATAATATTTATCATTATTTTGTTTAAACAACTGTGTTTTAAACCTATTGGTCTTCAGCATTTTCAATCAATGATCTGTTAATATTTACACATTTGATAAGGTCAAAATTACTAGTGAGTGAGAATAAAGGTAGTTGAGTGTGTGAAGGATAAACTGCCGCTTTGGGCCATTTCAATATGTGTTTATAAATTTACCTGCTTGTATGCAGCTAGTTATATTGGCCGCATAAAGCGCACGCTTTCCAAACTCATCTCTGAACATTATCCGGCATGGTTATCGAAATGAAAATCCAAGACAGTTACTAGCTCAGTTCTGAAGCACTTGGTGAACTCAAGCCACTTGGCTCCACCAGAGTCGCCTTTCAAAATTATCTACAAGGTGAGGCCGAATGGTACAAAGGGTGTTAGGTTTCGGCTTTTGTGTATGGTGGAGGCGTTGGCGATTCGTCAATACAACTCCGAACTCAGAGGTGGTCAGTCCATGACGTGGCGTCGTGGGATGAAGGATTTTTGTGCTAGATTAGCATCGGTTGGTGTGCCATGACTCCCTGGTTGGGGTCCGAGAGATAGCTCAAATCGATGGCTCGAAACGTTATCGGATATGGCCAAGAGTCGTAATCAGTGGCGAATGTGTTGCGATCTCCTTCTTTCTTCCCTTCCCGATGATAGCTAACGAACACTGTTTGAACTTGTTAAGCATGACTGTTTTCCTTCCAGATGAAGTTCTTTATCCGTTCTCTACTTCTATATATTTTTTCTTTCCTTCCTTCCTTTTTTTTGACCTATGTTGTTTTGTAGAAAATAAAAGACAGATTCAGCGAAGAAAATTTTCTTTATCGACGAAATCATCTTCAGAGGCTGTACAGTCGTATTTATACTTAGAAGAATGTATGGTAGTCTAAAGAATTCAGACTGTGCTTACTCAATAATAGACCACCATACATTCTTCTAAGTATAAATACGACTGTACAGCCTCTGAAGATGATTTCGTCGATAAAGAAAATTTTCTTCGCTGAATCTGTCTTCTATGTTGTTTTATTATTATTGTGTGGCGCATCTTTCTTGGTGCCATATTGTACCAAGTTTTTTATGCGTTTAAATAAAAATAATAAATAAATAAACTCCGAACTCTGTATACAGAAAAGTTTGTCCAGTCTCTTGTTCTACCTTGGTCTGAACCTCTTCACTAGTTGTTTCCTGTAAAAGGAAATTTTCTTTTTGAATTCTCAATCGTACTATTAGTTTGCTTATACTTTAACAATTAATTCTCTGTTAATAACTCTCATATGTTTCTTTTGTACATTTTCACGCGCTCTTTACACTTGTTAATTTAACACTCAACTACATTTATTCTCACTCAATAGCAATTTTAACCTTATCAAATTTACACATTGATTTAAAGAAAGTAACAAGTCAGTTTTATTTCCGTTGTTAAAAGACTGATATCTAAGGTCGTGATTTCCTTTTTCTAAAAATTAAACTAGTTAGTCAACGGTTTTTTAAAAGTTATTGTAAACAAAGTTATTTTTCTTCATTTTATAGCCATTACCTACTCCGATTGCTGTGAATCCAAGTCATCCAAAAGATCCAAGTCTAATTCATGCTGATAGTTTACGTAAAGGCACATTAGAATGGCGTTTAAATCGTGCATTAGAGTCCAAAAAAATCGACTTGGCTGTAGAAATAAGTGATCGTATTGGAGATAGTTCTGTAAGTTGTAGTTGATAGTTTTAGTTTTAGAAGTGGCACATTCTGCATTTAAAATTTGGTGAAATTTAAAACTGTAAACATTACCACTAGTAGTAAAGTAGTTGTACGTGTTTGCTTTATTAAGATGAATGTAGCCTTGACTATCTGTATGCTTATTACTTCATAATACTTTTAGTTTCATCTTATTGAAATACATTTTGTTTATTCACACATTTAATTCAGTGAAATGCATTAATGAATATAAATACCCAAAAACTAATATTCAGTACTCTATAACATCCAAGGCGTGTCTGTGTTAGTTGCCGTTAGCCATAATACGTCAGTATCCTAACGATTGGATCTTTGATTACTTTCAGACATAATTTTTTGAAACAGTCTTATGTTCCGAATCAATTCTAGCACATGTTTTGCTTTTTAAGTATAGTATCAGTTATACATACTTTGATTTTCGTATATGGAGGGACGGTTTAAGAGTCCTTTGAAGCATTTCCGTTGTTTCACCTATTTGGTAATTGGATATCCTTTACTATATTTTACCGTCGACCTCTTCCCAGATGATGACGAGATTTTTGATACACTGTTGTGAGATCTGTCTTACCTGCATCCTATTCCGCCTCGATTGCCACTTTGTCGTAAAATCATCTTTTGTTTTTCTTAACACTCTTGTCCACTTCTTTGCTGAGTTCTCTGTAGATTTTATTTGGATTTTCTTTTCGTTGTTCATCTGTGGATTGATTCATCTGTTTCCCTATCTTTTTCTTCTCTGTTGGCTTTCAGGTGTCCGTAGTAGGCCACTGCTTGTCTTGCCTAAGACGTTTATGCAGGTTTACTTCCTCATCGCTTTTTATTATTATGCATATAATAGAAATACATGGGTCAGCAAAGAATATTCTTTCCATATCTTCTCATTAGAGGTGTACGGTTGAATAATGTTCTAAAAGGGTCACGGAAATGCCTCTGAAGGTCATTTGTTGATACCATTTGATAAGAAAACATATGGAACTACATATCTTGAAAAGTAACGAATAAACTACTATATTTAGTTAGGTAATCTTAGGTGATCTAAAAACACTAATTAATGGATATCACTTAGAAATGATTACTGTAAGCACCTGGAAACAAGAATAATGTGCACAGGAGTAGAAGATTCAAAATATATTTAGAGTATATTTCAAAGTTAATTTTTTGGAGAGAAATAAACAGCAATGGATTCTATATCAAACTATTGCACAAATTAAAAAGGTTTGAGTCCACAAGACTAAAAGGAATTGGACAAACCGCTTCTGTATACATAGTTCATGGTTTCTTTGTGTGCAGCAGGAGCTCCCTTTGTGGACAGATTATATAACTGGAAATCCTCCGAATGATTTGGTCTTTTGCTGTATACCACTTTAAAAACTTCTCTATCGGTACAGAATGATGTATAAGAAGTAGGTTCTTTCTTCTAATTCCTCCTTTCGACAATAATATTGGAAGATATTCTTGTGCACGTCAAGACGATACCGTAACGATACGGCTGGCCCATGTACTTATCTTCACATGCAGTATTCTTGTGCATATATCAGTTTACCTACTCCTGTGATGGAGTGTTGAATTGCATCACATTCATATAAAAGAAAGGAAATTACAGTAACCACTTGGATTTTTGTACAGTTGGAGCTAATCTACACCTACTGTGTGTGAAGGCCAATATTGTTGCCTGGTTGCCTATACCTCGATAAGTGGAGCAGGGTTCGAACTCCTTCACATAATAAACTATATACAGCTCCACGCATTCATATGATAATTAGATAGTCTATACAATCACATGATTCATACTATAGTCTTCTTTATTAATCATTTCTTTCTAATCTCTTTGTATTTCTTTGAAAATATAGTCGTCGTCCACTGTTCTTTCTAATGAGACAATTTCTTCGATTACTCATAAACCAGGTGAATCCATGGAGAAACCAAAATATCGAAAACCTGTGTGGCTGTAAGTTATTCTGAAGATTACAAAAAATAACTGATAGTATCAAATCTATCATATATAATTAACTGTTTATTTTCGTGTAGAATTGTAAGTGGTTAGTTTTTAATGAACTGATAGCTTCAAAATACAGTTAAATTGCATGACTGATCAATTTGAATAAATACATTTTACTCAACAACAAAAAATAGTAAGGAGAAATATGGAGTACTAAGTCCGTTTATGTTACATCTTAAAATCAAAAAGTACGGATGGTTGAATTAAGACTTTAGGATAGTAACATCATCTCATTGCTAATTGTTACTCTGTGATCAGAATTATCGTGAGTTAATGCAGTTTTGGACAATGTGCTATAAATCATGTTAATTAAGAGAGAATTCGCTGTGAAAGAAGTTGAGTTCAGTCATACTAAGGTGTATGTTACAGAAAAAATTGTAGGCCTTTTGTTTGTGCTATTAGTTAGAGACTTAATTGTATCAAATAGATCACTACAACAATGTCTGTCTGTCTGGATTCAACATAGAACTTGGCACCGAAGTGCAGAAGTTCGAGTTGCCACGTTCTAAATAGCACACAAAGGTAGACAAGAAGATGAGTGAAGAGAATCAGTAGAGTTTGACAAGTATAAGAGTGAAACAGAATGGGTAGTGGTAGAAAGGAATATGAAAGATTACAGAGACTGAATACATCTGCGCTGGCCATTGACGACGATTTTGAGCCATGTCACCTATTGTCTCCAGCCATTGATTCCTAGAGTCCCGAGGGCCCCAACCCGGAAGTCTGCATCTCCCTACCTGACCGACTCAGTTTAACTGTCAAGGACTTCATGGATTGATGCCATGTTTTTGTTTGGCCACCACTTACTCTTTTCCAACCTGCGCCTATAGCAGCTAGTAATGCCCATCGGGAGAGGCGATGGTTATGCATGCTCAGCACGTAAACTAGCCATCTCAATCTATGTAACTTTATGGCCTCGTCGATTGATTTTCCCTCTTTGCCCAACACTACGCCTAACGTCAACATTACTTACCTTATTAAACCACCTAACGTGAGACAGAGATCGCAGACATTTATGATCGAAAGCAGTCAACCTTTTCATGTCTTCAACTCGTATTGGCCATGTTTCAGAGCCATAGAGAAGGATGGTGTGAACTGCTGAGCAGTACACACGTCCCTTGGTTGATAGCTGGATGTCACGCCTACGTCAGAGATGGCGAAAGCAGCTCGAACCTTTTGGATCCGTGCTGAGATTTCGTTGTCAATCAGTCCGTTGGTGGTGATACAACTTCCCAAATAGGTGAAGTGGTCAACATGTTCTATCACTTCACTCCCTATCACTAAGCTAGGAGTTGACGTAGTCCAGTCGTGTAGCAGCATCTTACATTTTGCAGGGGCGAATAGCATGCCAAACATACGAAGATTGCAGCTCAAGGTGTTCAGAAGACTCTGCATTTTGTCAGCATCCTCCCCTAACAGGACCATGTCATCTGCATATTCTAAGTCAATAAGATTATACCCTGGTAACAAGTCGATTCCTAAGTCGTTACGTTCAGTTAGGGATACTTCCATTAGCATATCTATGATGAAGTTAAACAAAAATGAGGAAAGTGGACATCCTTGCCGGACACCACTGGTTGTTATCAGTTCAGATGACGATTCCCCATAATGCCCATACACGGCTACGTGAGTTTGAATAGAGTGTCTTGATTAGTGCAATGTACTTTCTTGGCACTCCCTTCACAGTCAAACATTGCCATAGTACCTTTCGATCCACGGAGTCGAAGGCCGCCTTCAATTTAAGAAATATGGCCATACAACAACGTAGATACAACTGTAACTTATACGTACATTTCACTTTTTGATGTTGTATAATTTAGTATTTTTATTCACCTTATATATTGTGTTTTATTCTCTTGCATAGGGCTTCAAACTACAAACTTTAAAGTTTCTGTAACAAGGGTGTTATTTTTACGAGTAGGGTTGTTAGCCTGATGCCCAACCCTGCTCCACCTCTACTGGACTTAGTCCTAACCAGGCAAGGTTTGGTAGTGTATTAGTCGAGAATTAAACCCTTCACACGTGTTTTGACTTATTGATTTTTTAAGGCTTTCCATCATTTTGTTTTTGCCTGTTGTTGCCCGTTCTCATTTCGTTGTACTTCCTAATTATAAAGCGGTTTTGCATGATGTTAATACCTCATCACTATAAAATGATGGTATAATGTATATCGCTACTTTGTTCAAATACGTTAAAGTCAATGAGTCCAAATTATTGCTTGCTCATAATCGTGTGTAAGTAAATTCGAGTGGCTTTAAATGTCTATCCCTCCCTCCAAGTTATTAAGTATAATTTCGTTGTTAACATTAGCGTATAAAACTGTGTCGTTCCATAAACTGGTCAGTATTATGGCTCGGTACTTTGTTAACTAATCACCTGGTAAGAACGGGAGCCTATGGCAAGATCCTGTTGCAGTTATAGTGACCTTTTTTTAATCACTCCCAGGCATTAGTTCAATCACTGACTGACTCATCGTATGCTTTAGCATCATAATTCACGCGATACACTGGGTCAATAAAGTTCATTACAGACTAGAGTCATTGAATATAGTTTGAAGGTCATATTTTTAGTTACAGGTCAAATCATGTGATTTAAATGTGAAAATGTTATTAGTTGCAACAATGGACAGTAATATAAAGATTGTCTTTTCATTTTTTTTATTTTCTCGCAAATCAATAATAATATATAATCATTCACGTACAAAAAGTTTAAGTGTTAATTAAACAAAATTTATTTCAAAAACGTAGTAAATTTATCAATCGAATCGTATATGTTAATAAAACAGATCGATTTTAGCTTAAATTTTCTCACGAATCAACATGAATTAATGAGCATTAGAAATTTGTTTCAGTTAAATTCCATATTAATTTGGATCATCATCCAGTCATCTAGTAAATAATGATACTGTCTCACCGTATATGATATGTCTAACAAACAAATTAATATGGAATCATCTATTGCCAAAGTCTTATACATTTATTAACTGCTTTATTTTACTTCACGACTCTAAAGTTATTTTTTTTCATTCCTTTGAGTTCCATTTGGAACATATCACTTGTGGAATGAGCTTTGAAGTATCAGTAGTGACGGTGTTGTTGTTTTCTACAGGGTGGGGTTGGTGACTTCATACGCAGCCCACCATCTTCTTCTGGATTACTGTCGGTTAGTAAACTAGACAAGGTTTTGAACCGAGATCACCTATGTGGTTGGATGTAGACAGAATTCCAGCGGTAAAAAAGGGATCGGAAATAGGACAGAGGAGATTGCTAGTTAGATCTTCCTTGACCAAACTATAGATAATGGCTGCACTATAGAAATCTCTAGCATTGCAAGATTTTAAATCAATACATCATTTTAGTATAAAAAAGAATCATTCACCTTCAGTTTTAAGTTTATTTGGCAGTTTTGGTTATTAGGTTAGGGTCTGCAATGTAAAAAAGTGTCTTCTACTGATGACCTCATTTCGAAATGATACCATGGACCCAAATACTTTCAATTCCTTATCTTCATCTAATTCTGTAGCACTTTTATTACCGTCTAACTATTTCTCTTTCATTTTTCAGTGTTTTTTTTCAGCGAAGAGTCTCTTTTCGGCGAATTCATTCCCTTAGCTGTACAATCGTATTTATATGTAATTATCGTGTGTGTGTATATATATGTATACTTTAGGATTGTCAAACGAAATAAAAATTAGTTGGTGTTATTGTTTACATCATTGAAATGTTTCAAAAATGTGATGAATAAGCAAATTGTAAATAGGGGGGGGTGAAGATTGGTAAATATTGACAGGTGTTGCGTAATACGAAAGACACTCAGCCAAATAGGATGTTAATGAAAAAGCATGGAGACATGTGTCCAAAATAAAGTATGTAATAGGTAGGGTAAATAAAGGGTTTGTTAGGAAAATATATTGCTAAAACGTCATACAAACATTCAAAAAAAGCCTTATTAACAAAGTAGTAGAACTTGGAATTATACCTAAGGGAGAAGGAAGGAGTGGAGAAGTTTCTTCTGTGTACATAAATCGAGGTTTTCTCTCCGGACCGCTAAGGCCTCAGCAACGCAAAGTATACGGAAGCTTACCGTTTTTCGGAGGCTCCTTTGACCTTGTAGATGATTTTGAATGAATTCTCCTTACCATTTGAGTGACCAGTGTTGAATATATGTTCAATTATAGCACTTCTTATTGATCCACTGGTAACTTTTCGTAGCTATACGGGATAATGTTCTTTGACTCTTTTAGATAAAACGCGCATCGAAAGACCCATATGTCTCACTCCATGTGAGCAAGTAAATTGATAAATACACATAAGTGGTCGAATGCGATAGTTTATCTTTGAAGTTGTTGAAGAACAATGGGCGGCTTGAGAATACCAATCGTAATGTAGCAGCAGAGAATGTTCTTTTCAGGATGTTAGATATTCTTCTCTCTAGGATGTCGACCAGGTCGCCTTTTTTCGGGCATAGGCCCGTGAAACTTCTATTTTAAATAATTCAATGCTTCTTCAAAGAATCCGGAAATTATTGGATAAAGATACAGTCTGTCACTTGGCTGACATACAAGTTCAAAGTGATGACAGATACTACTCAGTATCATCAAATAGTAGATCATTGATTTCCTATCAGGCGCTTAAATCACTGTATACTTGTTTATGAGGACTAAGTTAAACTTTAAGCACCACTAACTACCAATGGAGTGCGACCACACCAATGACCCTGAAACGCTCACTGAGCAAGTTAGTGAAACCTGGCAAATAATGTTGTCATCACCAATAAAATATGCTCATCGAAGTGTTACGGTATTAAATGGGGTTTCTAGCAAGTTTCACCTAACGTTTGGGAAAGATTAAGTTAAGGTTTAGGCCAATGACAAGTTAGGGTTAAGTTAACCTATTAAAGGGGACATTAGTGTTAGTTCAAGTTAGATTAGGATTAATTTAGGCATATTTCCACATTAGGTCTAGGAAAGATTAGAACGTGGTTAAATTACTCTGTTGATATAAGAATAGAACTTGTGCACTGTGGTGGAGTATAATTCCATGGTGGGTAAAATCTATTTTGATAAATTCTCACAATGTTATACAGTAACATTTGCTGATGACGTCGATTGCTCTATAACACTGAGACTTTATCAAAATAAATTTCACCCACAATGGGATTATACTCTGTTGATACTCCAACCTAAAACTGAGAGCTATTTTTATCACATGAGAGAGGAAGGTATCCTCTGTAACACTTCTATACAGTTTTTAATACATCTTTTTCATAAATATACCTCCTTCACGTGATTGGTGCGTTCGAGGTCATTCACTGATGGGCAGTTGGTGGTGCCTAAAGTTTAACTTTTTCTTTATGAGACATAAATATCATGGGTTATATCAAAACATTGACAAAATATAGTTTCTCCTGTAGACTTCGCAAAATCTCTTTCATGCAACATGCCCCTTTTATTTGTCAGGCTTTCCAAGATGATGATAGATAACTGATACACACGTAATCCGTAGTTTAAAGAATTAGGAGTGAAGTGGTCTATTGTGCCGGAAACTGTCTATACAAAAAGTAAGGGATGGGAAACACATGATTTGGCAAAAAGCCTTCTCGTCAATTTTGCTTATTACTGCTTTATTTTAGGCATTTTCGCCAACATACTTATTGCTGAAGAAGTTTTCGTACCAATTGTTGCTTGGTGTTATATCGCGAATTGGCAGAAGTTAGAATTGATGGATCACTGGATTTTGTCCTTATGTGCCTACCTTGCAAGCTGAAAATCCTGTGTTCGACCCTCGTAGGAGTCGTGTGTGCGTACTGATGAGGAGTCCCAAACAAAGACTAAACATTTGTCCAGTACTTCCTGTTTTTCAATAGTTCTTTAACTGAAGTCAGCTGACGATCAACCTTAAAAGTCAGAGAAATCTCTACAAAGCAACGTTAAAAAATTAATCTAGTGCTCACTAGTGACTCACTGCAGCATGAAGTTGCCTGAAACTCTATAGTGGACAGTTGGGACCAAGGGGATTCATCAAGCTGCGTGTGTGAACGACTGTTCGTCGATGACACTGGCTGGTTGGCGCAGTATACAAAAAAGGTTTTAATTTTTACAACTGTATTTTGGGGCATTTATCAAAGTCTAGTGTCTTTAAGATGTTTAGTCATTGATTAGCATAATATAAAGCAGTTTGTACCATGAAATCTTGTATGCTCTTTATTCTAATATCATTCTATGTCTCTTCAACTAATTTTTCATCGGATGCTACCGAAAGTTTCATTTTCTAATGTTTTCATTTATTTAATCTGTGTATCATAGTAGTAGATTATGATAAGTTCGAACTGTTCACAATTTGACCTGTTTGTTTTCTTATCATTCTTCGAATGCCTTTTTCAAATGAAGTGAATTTCTAATTGACAAAATCGGAATACTTCATTATCATAATCAATTGGATTAGATTTACCCAAAAATGAAGTCATGCTAATCTATTTGTTCGTTTGGATTAACTGATTTTTTCTTCTTCTTGTGTTTATGTGTTGTTGTTTTTTCCACATGATTGATTTTGTTTTATGGTCATTATTTGATAAAGTCTGTTCACACACCTGCTTTAGTAGATTTTCATTCTGTAGGCAGAGTTGTAGGTCTTTTGACTAACGACTCATTTATCACCAACCACTGTGTCTCGTGTTTAAGGCTTATTCTATCCGAAAAATGTTTAACCACCCAGGCGGTATCTTCAATTATCATAATATAGGTTTCACTTATTGGGTGTAGTGTACTAAGAGAACATGGATGTGATTGGGAGACATATATCAATAATGTTCACAGAGAGATAGAGAGAAATTTGTGCTTTCTTAATGATTTGAATACTTTTTCAATCACTATTGGAGTCAAGCACTAAGCAATTAACTATTAAGCAGTCTAGGTCACACTTGACATTTTCTAATAGAGAGTTACACCCACAATTGATTTTTTTATATTTAAGAAACCTTTTTTAAAGAAAATGTGTATTAATAATCGAAGTTCCAACTAATTATATTTTGGATTTACAACTATAGTTGAGGACATTATATTCACAGGTAGACATGAAGACTATTAATTTTTTTTATTACAGCTTGATTCCACACTGTATTTTTGGTACAAGTATGGAATTTTCAGCATGGATATCGGTAGTCCAAATTTTTCAGGCCAACCATAGATATCAGGTGTGTGTCGGCAGGGGATCGAACCTTGGAGTATATGCATGGTCGGCGAGATTCCTCACCGCTGTGCCACCGACGCAGAGAAACCAGAGAGTTATTGGTATAGTCTGTATCTGCATCCATCTAGTTTTACTTTATAGTTTTGTCTTAGATGAATCACGATGGATATCGAACTATAATCCACCTTGTTTACACGTACACTGTGCATCTTATGATATAGAGGATTTAGTTGTTACAAAAAAAACGATTATGTTCTACTTGCTTGTCTGATAACAAAAAATGAGACTTAAACAAATCACCTACCGATAACTTCATACACGGGGGTTGTATTACGTTAGTTAGAACTGAAATTACACTATTCACATCCGTTTTAATGTGGAAGTCTAAATTAACCCCAATAACTTTAATTTACCATGTAAATTTATTTGAGAAATTCATTTGATATGAATAAAAATGATCAATACGTAAAGCCGGTTAACAGGGTTAATAACAGGCTACGAGCTACACCTTTTCCCTGGAATGATTGTTGATAGTAAACTAACTTATGTTCAGTTTTTCTTATATTTTTAAGCAAAGATATTGATTAATGTATGTCTGTCCAACTTAATATTATTCTGACATTACTGTGACTTATAATATCGCTTATATGAGTAGGTATATATTATACAGCGGTATAAATTGTTTTCTATTGGATAGTGTGAAATGACTTTAATGTTGTTACATTCAAAGGGAAATCATATGTTAGATTTATTAGAGTTTTTTGTTGGCTTCAAGGTAGACTCCATTCGGGAATTGACGTTCTACCAGTCAATCGGTGTTGCTTCCTTCTTCGTGGTTCTTCAACTGGTATTAATTGGCGACTAAGCCTACCTTCTTCATTTTTTTCCATCACGTTCCCCAGTGGAACATAGGGCTTTAAGCTAGTGGCTTAGCGTGCATGGTCAGCGAGCGTTCTAACCGCTATACCACCGACGCACACACCTTCATTACTTGTTTCGCTTCTCTTTGATCAGTATCTTGTAATGATTTTCACACCCCTTCTTTCTGCCATGACTGCTTTCTGTATTATTACATAAACTGTAGCGCCTTGAATCACCTTTAGTTTGTACGATTCACTTTCTTCTTATCTGTCAGTGTGAATTCTGTTTCAGTTAACTATGCCTGTTTGTGAACAGCAGCCTTGATAAGACATTACCTATGTCATATTTATCATCAAACCGTTTTCTTCTTCTCAGTTTTCAGGCGAAAGAACGGTGGGAAGCGAAATCAAATATGTAAGCATCATGGTGAATTAAGCCAATTACTTCGGTCAAACTATGCAGAGAATACCTGCGGGAAATCAATGTCAATATTACCCTTGCTATTTTTGTACATAATTGAAATCCGAACTTGTATGAATAATAAATTTGGTTTGTAAAATCCCGTGTTTTTTGGAGTTTCCTTTCGAAATCGGGCAATGTAATTTTTTAGTGACATGACGCATGCGAGCTTAGGTTTTTATGTGCTACTGCTTAGTGCTGTCAACTAGACTAGAGATAAAATTACTAATATTTGAATTACTCTCCATGACTATCTTCAGCTACTTCAAATTAGCGGGTGAAACTGCCTCCAACGACCAGTCATTCAGAATGAAACAGTTATGCACACGGTCTTACATTAAAACATTCTTACTTTCCAGCAAGGCAAAAATATAAAAACAATTCCCGTGTAAAAGAGGCAAAATACTCGGGTGGAGTCACAGATTTATTCTCTTTCTCATTGAGAGGTCAGAGCTGCAATGTCTGCTTTATGCCTCTTTTCAAGAATCTCCTTCATTTACTAGTACTTTAATAATTCTAGAATTACCTTTAGTTTCTTATCGATCTGAAGAACAGGACTACTTTTCAATCTTCTTCACGCTAGATGAATTTTAACCACTGTCTCGGCTTGTAATACAGAAATATGATTAACAGTATACCTTAACTTGGGATTATGGTCTAGTAAAATCATCTGTAATGTTTAAACAAGTGAAACATTCTGCACAGCAGGCAGGATAGAAAACTAGGGAAAGGTGCAGTAAGGATCAGTCATAGACGCGTATTATTGTACTACAAATCTAAAGTTTGCTTGGAAGTTAGGTATTTTGATGCAGTTTGCGAGCCTGTTTCTGAACTAAGAAGAAATATGAGAGCTCAGACGAATAAAAAAATGCTTAAATATGATGCAGAGGCTTCTTAAAAGCTGAACTCCCTTTATGGTTTTCAACAGCGTCTGTTGTTTCCCGTAAACAGAACACGCTTTAAAGTCGTAACCTATGGAGTTATTCAGTAGTCGTTTAACTGGGACATAAGTCTGCGCCCTGTTTCACATATAACGATGGCGAGCTGTGTAACCTCACACGTAGAATAGATAAGACTCATACCTTAGATTGCCGAACGCCTCATGGTTACTACATTTCACCACCCACCAATCATAAACACTAACAACAGCGGTAGTAATATGAGTTGCACAACATTTTGAAGACGAATTATTAATTTATTTGCGGGATAAAACATTAAAGCCGAAATGAAAAACTTGACAATTATACAACGGTAAGGGTCAAAACAGAGGTAGGAAATAAAATGCTTAGAATGAAACATGACCGACGAAGTACAGTAACGGAACAAAGATTATTTTTCGCATACAGTGAAGTCAGATCATGTATACATAAGGAAAGACAAAATCTGAATTATTAACATAAATTAACTCTACAATGTATTATTTTTTCAATGAGATATATCAAGACAGTTGACCGGTGTCTTTCAGGAAACGCTGAAAGTCCGCTGCTTGTTCTTCGTTTAGTTCTTCCAGAGATTCGTTAGACAGGTTGATATCTGGACACATTTCTTCACAGAAGTTATTTGGCTCTGTCCAATTTGAACCAGAGGCATTTTGAACAGCAGCCATTTCTGAGGCATACATCAGTAAATCTAAAACGGTGGATCGCAAGATTCTCATAGGTAGCTGTTCTTCTACTAGTAATGCACGCAAACTAGTCAAACACTTATTTATTAGCATGGAAAGATGTGATGCAGAAGTAAAATCTTGATTATTTTCAAAATCATTTTCACGTTCATCTATACTACAAGTGCGCTGCCATGTACCGTCAAGAACTCTTACGTTAGTACTTGTCAGAATTAAATTGAAGTGCATAAGTCCCTGAGAAAAACCATCGAATAAATTGTACATCAAGCTGTTCCAACTGGACTCGGATAAAAGAGCACAAGTTGTATCTGTTAGGGATAAACTGGCTTCATTTTTCGGCTCAGAACTTTTTGTTCTTTCAGAATGAAGTTGGAGCTCACAGACGGTATTTAGAAGTAAACAGAAGTCTATACACGGTTGAATAGGTGGAGCAGAAACGTAGCCTTCACAGTCATCAAGTGTATTGAGGTTAGTAATAAGGTATCTGAGGAATGTAACTAGAGCAAAAATATGTTCAATGGATGAATTTTCAGGTTCCTTAGGGACATCTCCAGATTCTACACATATTTCTGAATCAGATCTTGAAGAGTTGGATATGGACTTTTGTGAACTGAGCATAAATGATTTTAGGATATTACTCGATATAACTTCCTGAGTCATCGATTTGACACGGTTGAAAACTGCAGCCTCAACTTCATTTCCTTTTGTAACAGGCAAATGAGCCCGCACATCTTTAAGACATCGGCATCCTACACCAACTCGTTTGACGTTCAATGTTGTTAACTCAGCTAAAATTTCACCAACCAGTCGAGAAGCTTTTGCTGAATTAAGTTCAGCAACAGCCCTAACCTATGTATAGGGAAGAGAAAGTATTTGAAAAAGTGGAAATAAAGCAATTTAAAAGGCAAAAATATAAATTATAGCAGCTTTACATCACTGAAAACGTCGGGCTTGCAGTAATATTTAGTTTTTTTGCAAAATATCGTACCATTTTTAGTTGCGAAAAAGCAATGAGACATTCGGATGGGTATATCTGGTTGATAAACATATGGTAAGGATCTATTTCGATTCCCTAGTAGTCTATGGATATAAAGTCGTTTATTTCGTAAAAACTTGAACAGCACACCTACACAGTATACGCATGACCAAGTTTCATATTTCTCTAAGATTCCAAAACACTCACTATGTGCATTTTTCATGCTTTTCAGTTGTAACAGCAGTTCTGCTGTTATCTTCAATTTTTCTAAACTTCATTTGGAATCTAAACACTTCCGGACTGCAAGTTTTACATTAGAGGAATTCAAATTCAGGCCGAATAAAACTTAGCAGGTAAATGGAATGTAGAATTAGACACTACCATAAATTTAATAAATAAATGTATTCGCTATTGTTTTTTCAAGATATACTGGATATGATGCCAGGTTATCTCAGGATTATTAACAGTTTTTGGTCAACAATTCCCCGACGTCCCAACACATAAGCAGATATGAGTGGAAAAACTAAATAACAGTCAACGATCACATCAAAGATTCTCTGCTGTTTGTCTACATCGATCAACTATAGAATTATCGCAGTTGGTAGTCACTGGGGGAGAAAGTATCACTTCCAATTTTTTGGTTATTATAAACAGAAACGTGATTTTCTAAGAATTTTACGAAGTGACAATCGGTGTGTGTTGGCCTTCAACCATGCAAATATCGTCAATACAGCTCACGAAGAGATGTCTGACCCAGAGTTGTTGTACAACAAAATTGCGGGGGTGGCAGGAGGAGGGTTTACTTAAATTTTCGGTTAGAAAGTTAGAAGTAGTTGGTTGATGCTTTGTGCATGACATCCTTCCTATGTAATGGTTATCATGAAATGCTATTATTTGTATAAAAGCAACCATTTAAGAAAATGCAGATGCCCTAGTCTTTATCGGCTGTGTTGATGAAATGGGTAGGTACTAGAATATTAACAAAAAAAGTTTTAAAAAGTATAAACAGTTATTCTGAATCAACTTAGATCACCTATCCTCCAAGTATGTTATCTAATTA